TGATTTCACAATGATGCACGAGAGTATCAACTATGATGATTTCATAAAGTGTAAAATACCCAGATTATCCTTGCAATATGAGGTTAGGATATGCAACACATCAATATCCTATAATTGAAAAAACTAGTATATTTTCTTTGGTATTGCTTAACAGCTTGAGCAAACAGAGCACCCACACATATCTGTATCCCCCCTGAAATCATGGGGACTGCTTGTCTTCTTCCACTTGTGTTTCATTCACTGGTTGAGATAGCACATATAGCAACATGGAAATGTGTTGACATAGTTTAAAACAGGGTTACTCCTCATTTATGCATTTCCAACCTCTTTTTGCCTCTTTTACCTTTTAATTTTCTTTGTCCTAGTTTATTCCTAAATTCTTTCCTCATTATTCCTTTGTTTGATGTCAAATGAAGTAATTTCAGCTGGGTCACCTGATCCAAGAAGCTTTCGTTCGTCACTGTTGGTCACGACTTGGTTTTGGTTGGTTTGTGTCAGCCACATTATTGTGTGTGTTTGGTTGGCAGTGCTGCTTAAAGAGACAGGATAAGGAGGATAAGAGGCTTCAGCTTTGGGCACAGCTTTGGTTTAGGAGTCTCAATGAAAACACCCGTTGGCGATGCGCAGCACTGTGTTGTGCTGAGTCGATGCAGCCAAAGGCAATTGTCCTTGGGGCAACTGACAGCTCAGTGCAGCTGTACAGATTTTAGCTGAAAGAGCAGCTGCTGAAATAAAAGCTAAGCTCGATGTCTTTGGCATGACAGCAGGACTGAGTGAAATTTTGGAATGCTCCAATAAAATATTGATGGGTAAGAATGACACAAGAAACACTGTAAAAGATGCAGCTGTTGCCACCAACATTTTCCTCTATGTGTTGTGTACATGTTAGTGTAGGGATCAAACATATGAGTCATATCAAGTAGCATTTACAGTTTGATTTGACAAGTGAAGACAAATATAGAGGTGGCAATATGTACATGTATGAGCAAGGTGATGCAGAGGAATTGTGCACTAGCTTCTCACTTGTGTGGAGCCCTGTCTGTCTCTGTCTGTCTATCTGTCATCTGTCTTTCCATATCTAAAAGCTGCTGTTGAAAACAGTGGAATGTTCTTATCATTGATACTCAGTCAAAAAGTCACCACAAACTAAGAGATGATAAATGGCCTCTGCCCAAGCCTGTAAATGGAACAGCATGGATGCAATGTCACATTTGTGCTCCATTACTGGCACGGTGTTAGAAAATTAGTGCAGAGCTCACCCACTGTCTCCCATCCACTAATGATGGTTTGTAGAAGCAGCAAGCTCATGGTGATTGAGAAGCCCTGGGTGTTCTAGATATTCTGCTGGGATATATACAGATGTGAGTTTAGATATGTCTGTGTCCATGGTTTTGTACCAGCTGATGGGCACACAGAATGCCACGAAACATAGTAAACAGATTGGTTGTACTTATTTCCATTTAAGAATTCAGATGCTCTGCAGCTACAAGCATTGCATCAGTGATGAGAAAAAAGGGTGAAAAACATCCTGGTGAAGAGAGATTAAATAATTTTTCATTATTTCAAAGATTTTTTGGGGTTGGTTTATTTTGTTTGGGTTTGTTTGTTGTTGTTTGTTTTGGGGGTTTTGTTTGGTTTTATTATTTGAGGGTTTTTTGGTTTTGTGGTTTGTTTTTTTGTTTTGGTTGGTTTTGGTTTTTGTGAGTTTTTTTGTTCAGCAGTATAGTCCGGGGTAAGTGACTAGACTAAAAATGAAGCCTCTCCCCAGAAGAGTTTTGAATGTGAGACCTGTGTTAGAACAGTTTTAGTTTTCTGTAAGTGTGCATGGGTTTTGCTGGAGTTTGAGAGCTTCCAATAATCTGAGAAAGGATTCAACTGTCTGAAATCCTACATCATTTGTGATTAGGCCTGGAGTGATGTAGAGCTTGACCCTGTAGAGCCAGCTCATGAGAAACTGAAGCCTCACCGAAGTCATTCTCTCTCAACAAGTCTGAGACAAGAGAAGAGAGACCTGCTCCCAGAGACCTGCAGCTGCAATGCAGCAACTGCAGAAAAGGTACGGAAAAAAGTCTCAACTGAAGGCTCTCCATTTTAGTGGTAATCTTGCTGCAGTACATTCTCTCTGGAATGACAATTTAGCCTTTATACCCATTTGTTTCATCTGTAGGCTTTATTTATACTGATTCCAGTATTCTCTTCATTCTTGCTGTTCTTTCTCTTTTCTCTTTTTTTTTTTTGGCTGGTTGGGTTTTTTGTTGTGTTACAAATGAGAATGCCAGTAGTGCCTTATTAACTTTTTTCAGTTACATGTTACCTGTTTCTGGAAAGTCGGCATCAGCTCATAGCTCTGAAGTTGCATTAAAGCATAGTCAATAGCATCAAATGTAAGAAGCTGAGTTCTTTGCCTCTTTGCCTGTTCATCTGCCCTAGCTTTGGTTCCTCCCATCCTGACCTTTTGTGTCCATATTGTGGCAGCCTCCTTTTATAATAAAGCCAAGTCTGCAAAACAGAGTTTGACGTGATAGAAGCCATCCTTTTTCTTCTTTTCAGTGTACATTAAAATGTTTTATTTTTGTTGAGGGGGAAGACGAGAAAGAAACTCCCATTTCTCCCTAAGGGTGGGAGAGTCTGGCAGCTGCCACCCTTCCCTCACTGAAAGAGGAGACGGTGAGTACTCAGTGCATCTTCTGTGGATGCATCACAATCATTGCCCAAACCACTGAGGTTTGGCATCATGCTGTTGAGGAGCAACCCATTCCCTGAGGAACTGGGATAGGAGAAGTAGGTCACCCACGAGTTAGCTTCTGCCAGATTGCAACACCAGTTTCAAAGTGAGTATTTGTATGGGTGGCACGATGTCAAGCACATGTCACTGCTGCATTTTCAAGAAAAGACAGACACAGGCTTACGATCCCCCGTCTGTGGCTGGACTGAGTAGCACCCACTTTTTGATGGAGGCATCCTTTCATGGACTTATTCTGGTATGTATAGGCAAAGATTCACACCTTGGGCAGCTACAGCATCTGCTTCTGTCTCCTGTGCTCCCTTCCAGCTCTGATGGTAGTCGTCTAGAGACAGCACAGTTTAAAGAAGGAGCTGTTCTGGAAATTTCCAGACACCCAATGACCTGGTTCCTGCATGCATCTGCCCTGTCTTCTTTCATGTATCTTATTAAGAACAAGTCCTGAGAAAACTTGTTCTTTTCCTGTAACTGTTGTGAATAGTACTGATGGAAAACCAGTGGCTTCCAATGTGGTGGCAGGCAACGAGGTCAAATCTGCTACCCATGTCTGCTGCCCTCCATCAGCCCAGTGTGTCCAAGGTTGTAGGCAAGTGGCAAAGACAAGATATTGTCTCCAGGTTCTGAAGAACCACCAGCTTTTGGTCTCACAAGGAAGGAGAAGGGAAGTAAATCTGAGGTGATTTGCATAAAACTGCTCAGTAATTAAATTCATGTTCCTCTATTTTGGAATGTAGCAACTGTGTAGGCCTCAAGAAGGCTCATGTGCTATACTTTGCCTTTGAAAGATATCCATTGAATTACTTTGATAAATAACCCTTAAATAGAGTATCTTCTGTTTAAGAAGAGAGACTTACAGTGACATTAATTGAGATACAAGTTTATTTACATTGAATGTTCAAAGCCTCACTTATTTTTCTTAACATTTTCAGCAGAGATTCCTGTGCGGTGTGAAGGTCCTTTGTGTGTTAGCTAAATGCAATACATCAGTTTTCACACTATCAGAATAAATATTTATCTGTCAAGCTCAGTTAGAATGTTTCACGATGAGACCACCCATTTGTCCTTAAAAAATACCCCAACCAACTCTAAAGCAGCCCCACTGCATCTTTAGGTATTTATTTTAAGTTTTCCATAGTATTAGTGGATTGGCTATGACTGAATTCCAATTATAGCACTTCTAGAAATGCTCAATTATGGAAATACAAGTGTGAATTTGATAAAGGGTCATCTCCAAATATAGCACTTCTAGAAATGTTCAATTATGGAAATACAAGTGTGAATTTGATAAAGGGTCATCTTTTTGATTTAACACATTTCTTTTGTTTTGGAAAATAATCTTATCATTCCTTTGATTTCTTTAAGAAGACCATATCAACAACTTCTAAAAACCTTATGCACCTCTGAATTCTTTGCATTGACTGAAATCAAGACTCCTTAATGTACTTGCAGATGGGTCATCAAAAAGTAAAGCATCCTTCAAGTAAAAGTAAAAAAGCTGGTCAGTGTGCCAGGCTTGCTGCTTTCCAGAGCATAAAAATGCATGGGACTGTTTTCCATGCTGCCACGAAGATATGATCAAGCCTTATGACTTAATGCAGTTAGTTAGGATAATAACAGACTTACATAGATGGACACCTGAAAACTTGACATGGCAGTGCAGAGGCCTTTCTGGAAGCACTAAAGTACAGGTCTGGATACTTAATTTCAAAGGAGTGTTGTCAAGGGTCCTCTCTGCATCCAGGTTTTGTGTCACACTTGATTTCAAAGGAGTGTTGTCAAGTGTCCTCTCTGCATCCAGGTTTTGTGTCAAGGGAATTACTTGGCATGAAAACCATTAAAAAAATTGGAAGTGGTGTCTTGCCCACTAAGCCACGTCCAAAGGAAACCTGTCCTCATGCTGCAGTGAAAACAGCACTTGAAGTAGGGAGGAGTTGTTTTGGAGTTGGTCTTCTTCATTCTATAGTTATCTTTGATCTGGAAGAATGGACTTTTCTTCTCTGTCACGTTGTTTTAAACCACTTTTTTAGCACATTGTGCTTCCCTCCACTTGGTAGGTAGAGCAGCTGGAGAAATCATTATCAACAGGGACTGGTGAATGATTCCTGCTTGTGGAGTAGAATTACACAAAACTTCAGGATATACCAGTATCTAATTTTAAACCCAGACAGAGAGATGGAGAAGCAGAGAGATACTACAAATTCTGATTTTTTTAACACAACAAAATTTGTGTGAAAAACAAATGTTTGGTTTTCTGTCTGTAAAATCAGACTAGACTACACTGTGCAATTACATATTCTGCCAAACTACTTGCTAAGACTGAGATGATGAGCCCTAAGTCTTAAAAAAATAAACCCAAAATGAACCAAAAAAAAAAGTGCATTCTCTTTCTGCTTCGAGCCATTTGGTTTGTCAGTATAAAAGCAGCATCACAGGCCAAGACTGCAGACTCTGCTGCACTGTAATTGTGCTAGAAACTGATCTGACATTTTAAAAACATGCTTCAGCACCAAACCCCTATGAACCCATGGGAATTACATGTCTGAATGCTTCAAGAACACAGAAATTAATGATGCTTATGACTAGAACACCTTATCTGCACTAGATAAAAAAATTTACAAAAGCTATTATGGGATGCTCAAGCTATGGAGAGACTGAGTGTAGCTAATTAATATGCATTACAACCATATTAAGGGAAATAGATACAACTATAACTCTGAAAGAGGCTTTATAGCAATCTGAGGAAAGCTTAGTTGTACTCTGAATTCATTAGGCTTCATGTGAATTCACATAATAATGAAGTAAAACCTGCATTTTACTTTAAATGGTGGGTTTTCCCAGGAAGGAGGGATTTCCAACAGTGATTTGATAGCCTTAACTGTAATTTTTTAAACGAAGCCAAAACTGATCACTTATACCTTCTGTTGCCAGTGTACTTAAATATTAACTAACTTTTCCCAGCTTATGTAGATTATTCCAAATTTGCATACTCTACACAAAGAATTAGGGAAGGACACAGAAGAGTTGCCAAGTTAGAATTCAGAATTCCCTCAAAATAGGCAGATATGAAATCATTAGCAAAGTTGATGTTTATTGTTTCTCTGTCGGAGGAAATACTGTCCTGTAAGAATGCAAAGCCATTGACATCCTTGAGGCAGTACCAGAACCCACTTGGGCACACCATGATAGAGATTGTCACAAGGATGATGACACCTTCAGAAAAGAAAGAATGCAGTGTGCTTGAGTCTTATCTGAGATCTCTTCCATCAGAAGAGAGAGAAATGCAATTATTCGGTACCTTCAGATGTGTTAAAAATGTAGTAATACTTTTTTTACATAAAATAAGTCAGATATAGGAAGGAGCTTTTCTTTTTTTTTTTTTTTTTGTCTCTGCTGATATTTGAACATATCTTCTTTCGCTTTATTTAACATTCTGCTTCCCAAGCAGTACATGTTAGCACATCATGATTTTCCCTCCAGTTAATGATTCAAGTGTTTAGAAAACAGGACTGGTGACACAAATAGTGAATGAATATTTCAAATGCTCATTTCCATAGTCATATGATGTATGACAACACTAAAGCTTGTGTCTCTGCTCCAGGGTGTGCTCTCCTCCAGCTGTTTGGTGAAGGTGATTGAGCAGCCAGTCCTACACAGCTCCCCTGCAGCACTTGTGACCAGCTCCCTAAGAGCAGCTTCTCTACCTGTTGGTTTGAATAGCAGTGGTGTCAGCAGAGAAGAATCAATTACTTCACAGATGGCAAGTCAAGAAAGTAAAGTTAATGGAGCCCTGGACTCTATCGTTAGCAATGCAGTCCCTCGCATCATCATCATTCCCACCTCAGAGACCAACCTATTTCAGGAGGAACTGGAAGAGGAAGAGACTCAATTATTCCACTTTCATGACAAAAAGGGCAATCTGCTGGACTTGGAAGGGCTTAGCTCATCCATGGAATTCCTTGAAGCTGTTGAGAAATTTCTATCATAAGTTTGTCAAAAGAAAACTTTCCGGTAATTATTTTCTTGGCATCTTCATCACTTAATTACACCAAATAACTGAAGCCTTGTAGGTTAGGTCATCAGATTGTTTTGTATGTTTATATGGTAGTCACTAGGCAGCCTTCAGATTTATCTTTATCCAAACCAGCTCAGGCATAGAAACAAGCTTTCTTTCAGATTGTGCTGCAGGAAATGAGCAGTGGAGGATCTGGCAGCATGATCGAGGGGCACTGTTTTTCTAGGCTGCCTGTTCACGGGGCCCTGATTTGTTACCACAGATGGGAGTGCCAGCAGAAGGGAAAATGACCAAGTGAGAGCAAGGTCAGCTGCTGAATGTTTCTGCTATCTGTGCGTGAAACAGCATTCCTATTTTGGCAGCTGTCTTCTGGATGGTGATGGGAAGGATCACGAGATCACAGCTTCCACCAGCCCCAGCAGTAAGGCAGATGGCTAGATGGTCTGAACTATATTTTAGTAATTTTCAGCATTGTTTTTGATTTGTTTCTTTTTTTTTTTAATAGGGAGCATGTTAAACAATAAGAAAGGAACTGATGGTCTAACTGGGGAGTGACAGCTTCCCAGCTTAGAAGCTTTTGAAGTTTTGTGCTAGAAGTCTGGATTTTACCTCAGCATTAGCATGATCACCTAATGTCAAAATGCAAGGTCCTATATGCTAAAATATGTACACTACTGTAGAATCATTTAGAGCACCTTCAGAGGTATAGTCGTGATTAAATATGATGGATCCTAATGAGTCTGTGATTTAAACAGTGAATGTTCACAGCTGGCTTGACAAGTCATTGACAAAAATAAAGCCTTGGCTGCTGTATATCACTTGTCTGTTCAGAGGAGATTCTTCTCTCCTATAAAATGATCCAGAAGGTGTCTTCTACAGATCACTTACCAGAGGCCTTCAGAGTGGGTAAAGCATCATCTTGGGGAGAAAACCACAATACTGTGATGTTTGCTGCAGGCTCTGTACTCATCATTATCTGTGGTTACTAACTGTGCTCATTTAGTCTGTGCTTCACATTATGGCTCAGGCTCACAAGACCCTTCTAGCATTTTATTCCTAACTTCATTCTTCCATTTGTTACTCATGTTCCCATGTTCTCCATGTCTTCCCTTTCAGTCTCTGATTTTCAGATGTAGACAAGTTGAACTATTTTGTTCTCTACATAATATCAGTATATATTAGTAGAAAGCAGGTGTTCCTCTGGATATAATAGTGCAAATATGTGGTCCAGTGAGCCTAACAGCATTCAGACATTTAACAAGAGAGTGAGAGTAGATGTTCATCATCTCAGTTTATTCCCTTGACTGTATCATGGATTGCACAGAGACCACTGAGAATATTTCCAGGCTTTGTGCATGCACTGGCTGGTCTCAAGAAGTAATTTTTCTTTGCCTGTTCTCCTGGTGCAAAAAATAGATGGAAAGCATAGAAGTATTTTTTAAAATTATGTTTTCAGTACAAAAGAACATAACACAAGTCTTTTTTAGTACAAGCTAGATGAGAACTCCACTAAAGAACAAATTAAAACCCAAAGCAGCACAGGGGAGAGAAGAATGCCTCCAAACTTGCAGACCCAAGACTTTGCAGGGTGCCAGCAGACCTTTTAGAGGACTGAAACATTTGCTTTTGGTATAGACTGTGCTCTTTTAGGGGAAAACCAAAAAGCACTGGTGGGTTACAGAGGTGATTGCTGGTACAGGCTGCCTATGCAATGCTAGCACTCTTGATGCTGCTGTTATTTGAGGTACTCTGCTGTCTAGAGATCCTCATAAGAAATGAGGCCAGCATACTTCCTTACCATGGAGAGTAGGGGGGAAGAGTGTGGTGGAGCCACATCATGCCAGTGGTTGCCTGTGTGCATGGTGCTGGGGACCAGAGCTCAGCTGGGACAACACCATGTTGTGGTAATTGCAGCCAGGCTGCCAAAGCCTTTGCCACTGGGTGCCGAGTTTTCTGCTGGGACCAGGAAACATGTCAAGGTCATCTGCAATCAGCAATCAGCTCAGCATTTCCAGAGACAATTCCTCCTTTGGGGACTGGTGCAGTGAGCAGGCAGGGCAGGCCAGCTGCTGGGGACTGGGATGGGGACGTGCTCACTTGCAGCTCCTCAGTGTCAGGCTTTGTTTTGGACACAATGAGTAACCAAATGTTAATTAAACATGGTGTTCATGGAAAATGGGGCAGACTTAGTCCTAGGCTAAACATACTGTCCTGCCATCTTGGATTCTTTTTAATTTTTTTTGCTGAACCTGCCCTTTCTGATTTGGTTTTTTTCCCTATGTCAGTTGTACAGTCAGTAACCTTGCTTCTTCCTGCATGTAATATTCTCAGCTGCTGTATCTCCTTTCTTCTTGAGCCAGATATTTGGAGGCAAGTGTTCTAATAAGACTTCCAAGACTTAGACCTGACTTACTGCTGTAATTACTCTAAATAACAATAGAAAATGCATTTGGTGTTCTGTGATATATAAACGTGCCCTGGAGTAGATTTTGCACTCAGATTATGACAGACTTGTACTGATAAGACTGTAGGCAGGATGTTGCCATGGTTTTTGACAGGATGAAGAAAAGAAGACCTAAAGTAACAGTCAACAAACTCCTCCATATCCAAAGTTTTGCATTCTACTTGTTAGCCTACAAGACAACTTTCCAGTGATCTCTTGCATGTGTGTTGGTGCTGTTAGTGTGTCTCAGAGAATTAGCAGGCTTGAGGTTTGTGCAAAGAAATGTTTCACTTTTATACTGTTAATGTCATATACTATACCATTGCTTCTGAAGCTAATGTCAAGATTACTGCTCATTTAAACTAATCTAGGCTAAAATACCAAATGAGATAGAAGTACAGATAGACTTACTACAATGACTTCGAGACTTCTGCAGAAACATCAGTCACAGAGTAAATGAGTCTTCAATTGACTACCACAATGAAGAAAAATTTTGCAAACTTACCTGTTTGCCACATTAGAATAGATGACACATAAAAGTGTACAATATTAACTGTTGCTTCCCATTTCACAAAGGAATGTATTGGTTCACTCAAATGGAATAAAAAATTGTTAGGAGTTAAACTAAGCTATCCATTGTTTGTTTTTATTATTTAATCATTATTTTTGGACCCAAGAGTAGGAACACATAAGTGGAGTCAAAGGTTTTGAAACCTGTGCTCTGATCCAGTTAGTTGTGAGCTACATATATACCTTTATTTTCAAGTCATTTAGACTGCTCCTGTGAAAGCAAGCACTTGCCTACTTGAGTGCACAGTATCCAAAATTAGAATTCACAGACTAATTTTTACCAAGTAAAATCTGAAGTTGATCAGCAACTTCTGAAGTACAATGACTTTGACTGGGATGTCAGGAATCAGGTGAACAAAACTGAAAAAATTAACCAGAGTCAATACATTAGAATGGTGACAGCAGACTTTGATCTTTGTCCTAAATCCAAATGAAGGCTAACAAGCAATTGTTTGTTTCTGCTAAATCTCTGCATAGCACAGTTACAAGATATGTTCCAGTTTTCATGTGTAACAGAAAATCCAGACCACAAGTGTAAACATTTTCTCTTCCCATGGATGATGGTGTCTTTTGTAGTTAATCAATGGTTATGTAAAGTTTTCAAATAAGAAAATTTACCTACTTGAATCTGAATGAATCTTGTTGCCTTGAGTTGGTATGATGCAGGACCTAATACCACTGTCTTCCACAAAGCTCATTCAGCCCTCAGACATCCATTCACTTCCCTCCTTTCAGGAGACACAACTGAACAAGAAAACATCTCCACCCTGCTGTCTGAGAAATGTTTATTTGTGATGTGCAAAGCTGGAAAATACTGGGAGGCAAATACCCCTTTTTTTAAATTTCCTTACTCTTCCCCCCACCCTTTATTTTACAATACCTTTTTAGTGCTTCTTCGTGTAGGTTAGCCTTGATAATTTTTGTCTGCTTCTTTCACAAATACATGAAAGTGATGAAAGTTAGTGGGGAGATGGAAACTTTGGTGTGTATTATGCAATGTTTTACCTGTGAACTCATTTCTTGCATAAGAGTAATCAAAAGTGCCCATAGTGCTTCAGTTCAGCAAGTGCATGTTCCAGATAACTGCAGGATGAAGTCAGTCAAGGTAGAAGCAGCTGAAATGCAGCTGTCCCTCTCAGGTCATCTCAACATAAGCTGATGATTGTTTCTTGGTTTGCACCTCATCTACAGCCTTAGTCTGTATATTGATGTTCTGTCTGCACCTTGAATGGCCAAGTATTTAAGTGAAAAGTTTGGTGCTGGGATTCCTTTGTTGTGCCTGTCACATTTACCTGTGTCTTAACATACACTACGAGTTACTATGAATTCTCATGTCTGCCCGTGTATTTTACTTGCTGTATGATATGTCTGGGTTGTACTCTGGTTGTGTTAGTACTACAGGTTGGAGCAGGACATGAAAAGCTAACTGTAAAATGTCAGTCAGGTGTAAATCCAGTGCTACTAATTCTCCCCTCTGCTAGCGTAAGGATATGACTGTGACTGTGTGCCAGCAATCCTGGTGCCATTATTTCATGGTAAAATCTCCTGAGGGAAAACATCTGTAGGGGATAGTGTATTATGCAATATATTGACATTTTTTATTCTTAAACAATTTTCCTCTTTATTTGTACTTACCATGGTGGGAAACGCCGATCTGCTGGAAGGCAGGAGGGC